GGCGAGCGGCGGCGGGCGCGAGCGCGCAGATGCGCGTCTCGGTGCGCGCCAGTATGGGGGGTCTTGCTCCGGCGACGGCGTCCGATGGCCGACGCGTCGGACGCCCGAACGTGCGGTTTTTGGCTAGCGGCCAGGGACGCCCGGTGGCTATACGTGACAAAAACAAGCGCTCGGATTGGGACGAATGGCTAGCCGTTTCGCTGGCTTGAGTACCAAACACGTACGCGCGGGCCGGGAGCGGAGACCTCTGAGCCCAAGCTTCCGACGCACGGCAGCCCGCTCTGGTGGTCGGAGTGGCCTTCCATGACCCCTAGGCGTAAGCCTGACCGTCGGTGCCCCCATCGGAGGTGGTTCTGGCGTCGACCAAATTCCACCGCGCGGGCCTCGTCTCCGCGGGGCTGCCGCGGCGTACAAGTCCGTGCCAGCGAAGCGCGTCACCATCGATGGCGTTGGATACGCCCCTTGGTTTTGGGTGCGACGTCGGTGTGACGGCTGGGGTAGGCCATTTACGTTGCGTAAGATGTACCACCCCGCTCCGCACGCAGGGGTGCCGCCGACGCCAGTGGCGGAGCAACACCCCCCCTCGCCAGTCGGTGCTTCGCCTCAGCGATTGCGGAGTGCTCCTCGACACGTTCCTCGACTGGGTGTGCACACAATGGCATCACGACATCTGATGCTTCGGCGGCGCGCGGCGCCGGGTTCGCGGCGGGGGGGCGCCTAGGCGACCATGATGGCGTAGTCCGCGGCGGCGCAGAAGAGGCAGAAGGCGCCCGTGAGGTACGCGGACGTCTTCCCCTCCTCGTGCTCGCGCCAGAACTGCTCCCGGTGCCGGAGGAGCGCGGTGGCGAGCTCCTTGCCCAGCTTCGCGTGCTCCGGGAAGAACTCGTCCGTGGCCTCCGCGAGCGCGGCGGGCCGGACGTACGCGCGGCCGTCCGCGCCGCCGCGGTGCGCGAACCACGCCGGGCTCAGAACCGGCGGCGGCTCGGGCGGGTCGTCGACGCGGTCGGGCTCGGCCCAGGCGGCGACGCAGCGCGCCTTCGCCGGGAGGTCGAGCGCGTCGTTGGCGTTGCGGTCGAGGTGCCGCAGCGCGCCGCGCGCCGCGCCGCGGAGCCGCCGGGCCGCGCCGCGGTCGAGGAACCGGCGCGCGGGCGCGTGGTCGCGGCCGAGCGCCGCGGCGACGTGGTGGCCGTGGGCGTCGGCGAGGGCGTCAG